TTGCTTATTGAGGTGCTCCAAGAATCTGCATGTCCCTCCTCCTTTGGAAGAGACCTGTGTGTTTCCCACCCTGCATGGTGTCATCCAGAGCAAATGTTGTGAGAGACCCTTTGTCTGCAGAAAACACCAGCAACATTAACTAGTTGATTATATGGAAGTCATGTTGGGAGGCTCCCAGTCCAATCACTATCCAGGGAAAGAGGCTTCCTGGGACTTCCATGTGGGTAGAGACCAGTCTTCTGAAGAAAAGGGTCAACTGAAAAGGGCACAGAGAAGTGATCCACAGCTGGATTGTGCAACTAAGACCCTGAGGACAGGATTTCTCACTGCTGTTTGGGACCCCTGTGACATCTAGAAGAAACCTAGAACTGGCTTAATCTCTGGGGTTCACGTCAGAGGCAGTTATGAACTGCTGGTGTAGAAAACAGGTTCTTGAAAGAACTTGAGGCTTCCTGGAACATTTGCTCCCTGACATCCAAGATAAGTCCAGCTGATTGCAAGGAGGAAGGAACTTAGCAAGAAGCACCCAAAGATGGAGAGAAAAGCCAGGCCGAAGGAATACATGAAAATTTTGTCTGTGTCCACTTCAGCCTATAAACACAGCTGGACAACACAGCTGTTCTTCAAAGGGAAAGAAGAGGCAGCAGCCTTTAAGGAGTCTCCTCTGCTGTCAGCAATAATAGCCCTTTCAACTTAGCATCATGCTGTGCAGTATCGTGGTTTGTTTGCTCTTGGTTTACAAAAACCTACAAAAACTACAAAATGCAAAAAAAATCATCTTTTACAAAATGATTGCCTCTTTCTCATAATAAACCTTATTGATGTCTCCAATATGCTGCATTCTTTTTACTGGTGGACATAGCCAGACACAGCAAACAGCCCTTGAAAAGCTGTAGATGACGCTGGGTCACTGTCTCCATTGAGGGTAACAATAGGAAGGCTGCTTTAAGGTGGAAGCCTCACTGGTGCAGAGTTGGCTTTGCTTATAACAAGAAGGGCCTCAACCCAACCAAGATAATCTCTAGGGTCAGCCTGGGATAAAAGATCAGCTCTGTCATGAACTCATTCGGTCAGTTTTGACTGTTCTGCCTTCTGCTTCTGTTAGGTGTACATCCCATTCCTATGTTGACTGACAGTTGTGCATTTCACATAGTTATTGAACAGAGGCAGATGAGGAATCCAAACCATTGGATTACCTGAACTGCTTTGTGTGTCCCCCCCTCCATTCCAGGAAGAGCAGGTAGTCCTTGACTTACAACCACAGTTTTTGACCAGGAGTCTATGAAAATTGACACAAGGGAAAGTGCTGGGGTGCATGGAGGATGGAGGAAATCAGGGCCAGGTAATTAAGAGTTGCCAAGGTGGTGTTTGTTACATGCTCTGGAGTAGGCTTTTAAGCAGAAAGAGGGAATTTTCCAGATGCTGCTGAATTACAAATCCCAATGGCCCCAGAAAGCATAACCAGCGGGGATGCTGGGAAATGTTATTCCAGCAAATATAGACTCCTTGTTGTTGGCTGTAAACAAGATTTTGCCCCCTGCAGGCATCGCTGGAATGTAGCAACAAGCACAGAATGATTTGATGACTGTGTACTCTACAGTAAACATAAAGAGTCCAACACCTATTTGGCCACGGAGCTTTTGGTATCTTCTTGGTATTTAGGCTTAGCATAAACCATGGAAGACCTCTTGTTCTTGACTTTTTCTCTAGCAGGTTCATAAAAGCCCTGCCAAAGTAAAGCAAGTGGGAGATGGTGGTCTTGGTTCCAGAAGTCCTGAGCATAAATGCATTTTTTTCAGCCATTTGGGAATCCCAACCTCCTGCCTCAGGTGCAGCGCGATGCGGATTTGAACCCATAGGAAAGGTTTTCTAAACACACCTGCCTTTTTAGCCCTGGAAAAGGGGTGGAAAGGAAGCAATCATAATTCTCCATATGCACCACATATCCTCATTCTCTTTGCAAACATATGCGAGAAGGAAATGGTGCACAATCGACAGGCTCCCCATTTTATAAACATACAATCTGCATTTTCACCCCCTCAGCAGCTGCGTTTGATTAAGGGAGGGCCTGGAAGAAGCTAGGGGCTGTCTCAGCTGGAAGCAGGCAGGACCCTAGGACCAGGGAGTTCTGGCATCCTCCACCGCCACCTGCTGGCCACAGGAGGCGGAAGCCTGCTTCTTCCCTTCAAAGGGATGCTTCGGAGGAACCCTGGAATCCACAGGCTCTTGCTTGCACTCCTCCTCTTCAGTCGAGCTGGAGAACAAAGAGGCCCTTGCTCCCATTTGGATGTTTCCATACAAAAACTCGGAACAAGAAATTCAGCATTCGGATCAGAGGATGCAGAAGTCCAGGAGCAATAAACTGCCACCCTTAGTGTTATTACTCAATCAGTAGATTTGTTAAATATCAGAGTTTTACCTATGTTCTTTCTTGAAAAGGCTGCAGGAATAATCCCCAGATTAAAAATAAGTACATTTCTAGGTTTATGCAATAGACAGCTGAATGTTCATAAAAAGCACCTATAAAATTTCATGCAGCCACCTAATAATTGCCATTACCCAAAGCGCTGGACTGGGAGATGTACAGTATTTAACGTTTTAGAAAGAAAAGGGAAAGAGCTGGGGCATTTCAGGGGCGCCATATTTGTCCTGGGTAAACGGTGGGAGAGTGACTTTTGAATTTAAAGGCCTCTTGCGCTTGGGAAGCCTGGGGGAGCCTGACACGTCCCTTCACAACTGGACTGTGTTGCTGACCACCTGCGCTTGCAGGTAGGCGCCAACCTGCGCAGCCCTGTAGGCTTGCCACTGCTGCAGAGCCGGGGCTGCCTCTGCCATCAAAACCAAGGGGTGAGGCACACTGGCAGAGCTGTTCAAAATAGGCACCAGGCTTAGTACAGTTGGCAAGTGTCAGCAAGGACATTTGCTTTTTTCTTCCCCCAACAAGAAAGCAGCAACAAGCTGATACTTATGCAAAAATACAAGGAAAGCAAATTCCAGATATTCTCCTGCTGTATCCAGTTTCAAAACAATGCTCGTCCATGATTTTGATTGTACCCTTCATCTACCCTTTTTAGGCCGATTTCAATCATCTAAGCCACCCTGAGCGATAGATGCAGAGGCCTGTGTAGCTTGGTCAGTCCTTGGAGACCCCACACGTGTGATCTTCATGTGTGCGCATGTGAGATCTGTGTGTGTATGCTGGATTTAAAGGATGACTGAAAAAACCATCCCAACCAGCAAGAATAGCCATGGCCTTTCTTCCCTTCAGTTGCTGAGCCCTTCTTTTTGGTGTCAGCTGATGTATCTCTTCATTCATGCTTTTGATTAAATCTGCACAGCTTTGCTTTCTGTTCTTTTTCAGTGTCCTTTGTTACAGAATTTTAAGATTGCCCTGTGGTTTTAAACAGATGGCATTTTAGAGAATTTTTACTGCACATGCTTTTTTCAATTTAAATAACTTTTAAAGGCTTTAATGGGTTGCATACTTTTATCAGAGAAAACAGGGAAAAAATTAAATAATAAATTGCATGGAAGCAGCTGCAAAAATGGGACAGATGGCTGGTTGTCTTTTGCTAGAGCAGCAACACAGCAGCAAAGGGTCTCTTCTGAAGCCTTGGGAACAAGGCAAGTTATAAATTTAAGGGAATGAACAAATATAGTTTCATGATCTATAGTTTGCCAAATGTTGCAATTTGGGGAGGGGGGCTCCTAACTTTTTATCAGAGAGGACAACATCCTTGCATCGTGGGAATGCAGGAGCCTTGGGATACAGGTCCCAAGGAGGACTGTTCCTTCCAGCCACAAATTCTGTCAGAAAGTTGCTCTCCTGCCTTCTAGGCTCAAACAAAATGAGAGAACACTTTACACTGTTACAGAAATCTGAACATCAAAGCTACAAATGAGAGACAGCTTTTAAAAACAAACTTTAAAAAAACATTGGGTGAATGGCAGAATAAAACTACCAGATAAGATTTTAGAAGAGGGAGAAAAAAGATCTTCCAGGGCTTGCAATATTCTCTTCACTATGGGGGTGGGGGTTGCGGTGCTGAACCTTGCAATCCATAAATCGCTCTCTTGTGGAAATGCAACTGGGTTACAATTCCTGTCTGAAAACTCCTTTCCAGAGGAGTTGTAGCTGTTGAGCTATCTAGGGGGAAAAAGGCAAATTTTCTATCTCTTCTGTGTCCCTGACCCCCAGCTTTGCCTCGGTATGCAATACCACACCCCACACTTGAACTGAATCCAAATGCAACAGCTGTGGATATTTTATAAGCAAATTTATTTAAATTGTCTTAATGCAGTTAAAACTAGAAACTGCAGAAGTAATTATTTTACATTTACTATAAAATTTCCTCTCAACGTTCGCATCTAATCCTGCCCCAAACTAGGCACAGAGCCTGGCATTCGGTGCTCTCCTTGGTACTGATGGGAGCAGATTCCTGCACTAAACACAGCAAGCCCTTGAATTAGCAGCAGCCTAAATGATCAACCTCTAAAAATATGTATTTACAAAGCCAATTCTCCAATGGGGGAACATGCAAGCCTCCCTGTGTGGCCAGAGCTAGAAGCTGAACCACCAACTTTAGGCACACACGAGCCTTGCTTCCAGAAAATGGACGGGTAAACGGCCCTTGCATTGGCCCTTGGAGCCTCGGGGCCCGTCAATCCCTTGGGGCAAGCCAAACTGAGAGCCCTCCCACTTAACTGGGCCTGGGATAAGTTGCTGCCGAGATCCTCTCTTCTTTAAGAAATCTGTTGAAGGTTTTCCAGATCAGGATATCAGTTTCCAAAGGGTACTGAAAAAATGCTAGCTTTTCCTTTAGTTGATGCAAAACGGAGCTGATGCAGTTTCTTGGATGATTCAGGGGAAGACCTAGGAGAGTTCTGAACACAGCATGATAAGGCTGTCACGAAAACATCATTCCTTCAAGACTGATTTGAATCCATAAACATCCATATGCCCCTTTGTGTTCCCTTTTACTGGCAAGCTTTTTTTTTAAATGTTGCCAGTTCTAATGAAGAAACCCTCGACTCTTTATATACAAAATTCTTTGCAGCAAATGGGCGAAAATGTTTTTTGTAAAAAAAAAAACCAAATTCAATAGCAAGAAATTGATCCTTACTACTAGAAATGATCTGATTTCAAGAAAGTAATAATTCAGAAATAAGTATCTTTAAATACATTCAGAATGTCTGTAACAAATCATGAATGAACCAGAGTGGAAAATTAATTGCTGATGCGCATCTAAACAGAGATAACTGAGTCCTAGCAAGGAGAACCTCTCATGTATTAAGGTAAAGGAAATTGGTCCGGCATCTGAAGTTTCAAAACGTTCCAATTGATAGAATTCGTTCTCTTCTTCCATTCATTGATACTGGGTGGGTTTAATTAGCTTTGGATATACAGCACAAAGGCAGGGCCTCTTGGGGAGATCTCGGTGCCTTGGAGAAGCAGCTCAGTACAAGTGTGCACCCAGTGTGTTGTGTGTACATGTTTCTGTGTGCATGCATGCACAAATGTGTAAAGAACTGTGCACCCACTCACACCCAAAGGGTGGATTGTGACACCAGACGCAAGAGATGTTTTCCTTCATTCATCATTAGCCGCACTAGTTCCTCTCACTTCTCCTTGATTGCGCAACTGGGGGAGGGGAGAAAGATCAGTCACTCACAGTTGTGGCTCTCAAATAAAAGAGGATTAAATGAAAGGATTAGAGATTATTTTGCCCATTTCTCCTGGCATAACCTTTGCCTGAAGCAACACAACCATCACCAGCACTGACCTACTGAAAGAAAGATTGTGATAGTGACCCAGGTAGCAATTTGAGCAGAAAGGAGGGAATTGAAACTGCAAACAACACTGAAAATGGCAGAGCCTGGAGGGGTGTTTGGGGAGGGGGGAGGAGGAGAAGGAAAGGGCAAAATATGGGGCTTTGCAGGTGCTTATTTACGAAGAGGCTGTCCTTGAACTTCTGCTGGGGGCAGCCTGAGAAAACCCGTCTAGACTACAACAATGTGTTCTGACCCACGTGACAAAGAAGGAAAAAATGAAACCTGCAAGAAGTAACCAACCTTCTTTTCCCTAATTAAACCACAAGGCTGCCAAAGGATGCTCCTGCTCAGGAACTCCATGTGAGTCAGCCGGGCTCGGGAGCCTTATTCTGAATCCAAACCTCAAGCTGCTGGATTTTGGAAAGGGACAAGTTGTGAGGCAGTCCTCAGCAACACTGAGATATCTGCTTTAAGGAGGGGGGTGCTACCCCACAATGGAAGACAGGAGAGACAGAGACAGAGAGAAGCGGCTCACGACTAGCGTGAACCAATACGGACATTCCCAAAACCTGTGTTTCTTTACCAGAAGAGGCCAGAGTCACTTACATAGTGGGATTATTTGCCTGCCTCTGACCCTACCGAGGGCTTCCTCTAGGCGCTGGCAGCCAATGTTCCTCGAACACAACCCTTCTTACGCATCTAGGTGCAAAATAAAACTGTCAGCCACCAGGCAGTTCATCAGCAGGTGTTAGTAGGAAGGGGCTGGAATGGCTGGGTTGGGTTGAATCCAGGTGAAAGGCGCTCCCTGCCCCCAGATGGTCACCTCGCATGCGACCCAGGCTAAGGGATTGGCTTCTGCTGGGCTATCCTGGGAGGGAGGAGGGTCCGCAGCTAACGGGAAAGGCAGCCATTCCGGGCGTGAAGTGGGGCAGAGTCTTTCAAGGCAGAGGGAGGAGGCTGCTGAATGGCTGCTCAGTTTGGGCTCTGATGAGAGAGGGATGCATCTCAAGGGGGAAGGGAGAGGACGGGGTGAAGCATTTGTGTGGTGGAGAAACAAGGAGGTCAGGAAGTATTTATGCTCCCTGCAAGTTTCTCCTTCTCCTCCTCGATTATTGGCATGGCCTTAGCCATGAAAGCCAGGAGGATGACTTTGGGCCATTCCCTCTCTCTCAGCCCAACCCACCTCACAGGGCTATTGTAGAGAAAAGAGGAAGATGTGTTGGATATGATCACTGCCTTAGACTGTTTGTAAAAAGAATAAAGGCAGGCTACAAATAAGTAGAACACCACATATTTTTTTAAAAAGCCAGTGAACACCTTGAAACCCCTGGAGCTGCTCTGCCAAGGGACCCAGCTAGACTGTCCCTGGCAAGAAGGGCAGCCGCAGACACCTCCCTCTCCTGGCAGCCGATCCACAGCCCAAGGAGAGAGGCTAATGGCCCTCTAGGCGAAGAGCCTCCTTTTCGGAAGCCCCTTTGACCAAGGAAGGCTAAGCCCCTTGTTCTCTTTGGGAGACTGACGGCTTTCGGTTCTCCCTTTCAAGAGAGGCTTTTGATGGAGTTAGTATTCAGAAACATACAAAAGAAATGCATGCACACATCACCGGGAAATAGTACCACATCCTAGAGAAAAAGACAGCACACATACAGAGCAAATTTATCTCAAACACTACTCTAGCAGACACCCTGATCCATCTTTGGTTTTGTTTAAGCTCCCTTGAGGAAAGTCACTTCCCAGAAGGAAGAGGTAAGAAATGTCCTGGAGGACATAAAAGTTTCTCAACTCTAAGGATCCCTCCCCAACCTGCAGAGCAGGTAACTTGGGGAAGCGGTCCTTTCTTTGTAATTCTCAGGGGGATTTCTGAAGGATGGCGCCCCACTTTCCCCTCCAGGTCTCCAGGTCCCTGTGATGTGCCAATGGGCCTCTGCTCCCTCCCAGCCAGCTTCCAGCTACCTCTGCCTCACAGGCTTCAATATTCCTACCGCCTCCAGCTCTCTTTGGGTTTCATCCTCCATTCGCCGGATGTCTTCCATCGTCAGGTCAATCCACCGGTCAATCCAGCAGAAAAGCTGTCGATGGAAGTTGGTGAATATCCTCTTTTCTTGCTTTAAAAAAAGAAAAAGCAGCTCTTGGCCCTAGTCCCACGGAGAGGCTCTGCTACCTCCTCAGGGAGGAGGGAACCATGCTGAACTAGAGGGTGGTCTGGCCCAAGACAGAAGCCTCTCAACCCCACTTGGAAACCTGGTGGACGTGACCCTTGTCCCCAGAGTCCTTCCCAGCTGCGTACCTTTTGAATGAAGTTCTCAATTTTATTCTGCAGTCCCCACCACTTAAACTTGATGGTCACCAGCTTGTAAGCACACATCTTGGGACAATCTTCAGCAGCTGCCAACTCCTTCTGTTTGGAAGAATTGATAAAAAGTGAGGCTTTAAGCGCCTTCCACTCTCAGCTGCCTCTTCTCAAGGGGCCTGAAAGTCACAGCCAAAGGGGAAGCTGGAAGCCTCTCTTACTTCTTGGTTTGCTGTTGAAGCACCTGGTGCCAGGCACGGGTGGACCCAAATGCCCAGAAGAAAGGGTGAGAAACTGGTACAGGACTACGGGAGAGGCTGTGATGGGCAATTTGGCCATGCTGCTCTCTTTGAATTGAGGATGCTGTGATTTTTTTTTGGGGGGGGGGGGGGGGGAGAGGAGGAGAAAGGAGGCCCTTCTTTTTTGTCCCTGAAGCCTCCCTGTGCTTCCTGATTTTTTCAGTTCCTTCTGCTCTTGAGAGGAACAAATGAATAGCTGCCTTTTAAAAAGCTTTGCCAGCGGTCAAGAACAGTCCAGGGAGAGGGGGCAGGTGCATTCATCTATCAATAAGCAGCAAGAAGAAAGGACAGTCATCTGATTAAACTAGTCAATGGGGGACAGAAGAGGAAGTGGTTTCTCACACACACCTTCCCAGCCAGTTGGGGAAACTGGGAACACAAAAGGGCTGATAGCTCAGATGGAAATCATAACAGCCACAGGTTATCTCTTGAACCCAAGGCCATGTATGTTTGAATCCCTCTTGCTGGGGTCTCAACAACCCATAATCAAGGAACAGCTTAGCCCACACAGTTCGATTTCATTTCCAAGATATTCTACTATCCTGAAGGGTGCCTGTAGGGCCGGGGGAAAATGCCTGAGCTCAGGCTGGCCACAGCATAAGCCTGCCACGAGATTCCTCCACTTTTCTTGACGTGTTCCTGGCAACTCTCTAAGCCTCTTCAGAGATGCCTTTCTTGGCTCGTATTACCTTCCAGTCAGTCCCCAAAGGACCTCTTTTGGTTTTGACCGACTGGAACAATGCAGGGTCTTCATCAGCTTTGTAGTCCTGTGGATTCAAAGAAGCATCAAAGTTAAGACTGAGAAGAGAGAACTGGTGAAGTTCAGAAAAGAGAAGCTACCTGCACTGGGCATATGAAGCCCCAAGAAAAATTAGGAAGAGGGGGAAAGAGATTTTCTGCTCTGAAGGCCACGTTCCCAGGGCCCCCAGCTCTTTTCTGCAGCCTTCTTGGTGTGTAACTTCATGCACATTTAGCTCAAAAGTTAAGTTCAACTGGGTCAAAAAAGTTTGTTTCCTAGAAAGGCTTACGAGGGTTCTTTATTTGCAATTCAGTCTAAAGCAGCTGACAGAAAGAGGATGCAAGTTACTGAGATGCTGGTGATAGACCCTAGGGCTTCTGGGCTATGAGACCCACCTAGGATTTGTGGATATTAAGGGAAAGCCAGAGGCAATGTGCACTGCTTTCAATCTGAAGCAGAGAAAAAGCTATAAAGCTGATTTCAATTTGTTTGCTTTCACTCTGCTTATTTTCTTTCGAATTACTTCTCAAGCTGCATGTCTTTCTGAAGTTAATTGTATGTCTCGTTCTGCTCACAGTTTAACAATTCTTCCTCTCCTGGGAAGTGACTTTTGTAAACAAATCACGCAAGACTGCTTAGACAAAAATTCTGGAGCTGATTAGGAGACAGGCCTAAATGTCTACCATAGGATAGCAGCAGCTGTCAGCTCAAGACTTTGTATACATTTGGGGAAACCCAGGGTTGGCATGTGAGTTTCATTAGGACTTCCAAGAGCAGGCAGAGTTTGGAGCCAGGCTGTTTATCGATCAGTGTTTAGAATTGAAAAGAGCAGCTGGGGTGCTTGGCCAGGGTCCCATCAGCCGAGGGCCTGCGTTGTATGAGGGCCTGCAGTAGGAGAGCCAGTCCTTCCCTGCACTCACAAGGTTATCGCCTACTTTTCAGTCAAGCTTCTGCTGCCACACCTGAGAGCAGGCTGGATCTTGTCCTCCCCCCGAAAGAAACCCGAGGGTCTACAGAGGCAGGAAGTGCCTTTTCAAAGAGCATCAGAAATTGAACCAGAGATAAAATCTGCAAAAGAGAGGAGAGGCAAGCAACTCGGGAAAGGAGGCCAAGAGAAGGAACTGCCACTCCGTTTATGCCCTGCCTTCCAGTACAGAAGCCATCCTTCCTTTTCAGCTCAGGATTGCATTATATGGAAGGATAAGACCGCTACAGACAGTAAAATTAACCTTAAGAAAGATTTTGTCAAAGTAAAAATTAGCTTTCTAGCATTCAAATGGGAGATACATGGTTAGAATTTAGCTACAGAGAGAAAAAGAAGAAGCCATTTCTTGACACTGTCCACGAGCTGTGACTGTGTTGTCCTCTTGTCCCAATGCACCAACTGTAAGCATTTAACATCTACTGAGCTGGAAAAGAGATACCCAGATAAACGCATAAACAAATGAACGATCAAGTGGAAAATTTAAAGTAAGACAGAAATTATAGATGAAGAGATGGAAAGAGAACTAGATGACATTTATCCATTCAATCATGTCCAATTTTATGGGCCAGGTGGTCTCGCCACATCTTCTGATCTCGCATTGATTCTTTGCATTTTTCTATGTTGCGGCTGGTGTCAGTTTTATGGTGGAGAGCTAGATAACCTGACTCTATTGGAAAGGGGGGAGAAGGAATTTTATTTGGGGCTTACAGCAATCCCAGAAGATTCTGCTGGAGATATCTGAGAAACTACAATATATAAAGGCGCCTCAAACTTATGTTGGAAATGTGAATAAATGTGAATAAAACGGATGTTTTAATTGTATATGTGGACATGCAAAAAAAAATAGAAAATTTTGGATTCAACTACATATACCGATCAAGAGAATTTTAAAGCTTAACATATACAATTTGTGCTCTTCCTGGCTGATTAAAGCTGTGCGGGAGAGGAGTGGGATTGGGTCTGCACGGTCGTTAACTGTTCCTTCAAAGAGGAAGTGATCCCACCAGCTCTTACGGAGGGGATGGTGTCCCCCCTCCTCAAAGGACCATCGCACGGTCCAATCAACTTGGACAGTTTTCATCTTGTGTCCAATGTTCCCTTCTTAGGAAAGACTGTGGAGAGTGGCTGCATGGTAGCTGCAGAGGAATTTGGCTCAAACGGATTATCTAGGCCTTTTACTCATCCAATTCGATCCAACAAATTGGTCATGATGCGGTTTCTATCGGCCAAGGAGTATCAACTGGCGGGAACTAGAAGACGGGCCTTTTCTGCTGTAGCCCTGGCCTTATGGAATATTCCGAGATTAGAATGGCTCCAACCCTGTTGGCCTTTTGCAAAGCTCTGAAAACTTGGCGATGTACCTGGGCTTTACCATTAGTTGATTAATCATCACAGATGCTGTTTACACTTATTTATTTTGGGGATACTTTTATCATTTTAATGTTTTTTAAACTTTTCCCCATAATTTTAGAATTGTAAGTCACCCAGAATCACTGAGTTGAGTTGGGTGGTTATCGAAGATAGATGAGAGAGAGACAGACAGATGGATGCAGGCAGACTGATAGAAACCAGAGGGTCTTTGGGGGGGGACTGATCGATAGTTGTAAAAATGTCATGGAAATTTGTATTTATGCATAACTGCAGCGAGATTACTATATGTACAAAGAAGATTCAGCACTAGCCATTATTGAGGCAGATGGAGAAGATGAAACCTGCTGAGATTACTAAACTGACTTCTTTGATCAGAGAAAAGATAATACCTACATTTATTGCTGACTGCAAACTCTTTATAAACTTTTTGCATGAAACAAAAAAATTAACATAATTTATAATTTTGATTAATCTATGTCTAATCAAAAGAAAAGAATTAAGCTGTAACCGCGGACAAAGAGGTAAATTTATAAGTGTATTTAGAATTGCTTAAATAGGATTGGAAGATGCTATCTTTTTCTTTTTTTCCTATCTTGCACTTTTGGCTTTCTCTTTTGTTTTCTTCCTTATTTTATAATCATTTGTATTAGTTTTTATCTTTATATCTATATAAAATAAAGAAATCCCAGGGCTGATGCACTGTGAGGAATTTCTAAGCTTTGGCTATTCTCTCCAAGATTCTGGGAAACTGCATTCACCTCCAGTTGTTATAGGCCTCTTGTTTAATTGGAAGCCGAAATCCCCATTATAGCTTTAGCCTGATAGGCGGGAAAAGGAGAAGTGGCTGTTGACCCCTGAGCTGGAGTGGTGCTGATGGCTAAGCAGCTCGATGGGCTCTTTTCAACCCACTACTGAAGCTCTTAACTTCCCTCTGTTGAAGTAGTGGTTATGTGCAGGAGCAGGCATAAACCCCTCCCGCAACATCAAGCTGCAAGGAGAGATATGGATACAACTTACTCCAGGCTCCACTTGGTTTCTGTCTGCTATATCAATATGAACAACTTCCACGTTTTTCCATGTATTGGGATCCAAGTCATGGACCTGTAGCAAGAGAAAGCACCACTGATCGCAGGGCCAACCCCCCTTCTTCCCTTTGCCCAGGGGCCAACACCTGCTTGCAAGGCACGGCTGGCAGCAGATAGGCCTTCCCACAGACCTTGGCAAGGCAAGCCAGGAAAGCTAAATGCAGCCTCTGCCAATCTACAAGAAAAGCCAAAGAGGAATATACGGGCCCCATTCTTAAAGCAAGCTACACTAAGGAACATAAAACTTAAAATAAGAACAGCCACCTTCTACAGTCCAGCTTAGTTTGAATTTGGACATTTAATTGTGCTTTTATGTGCTAGTTCTTTTACCCATATCCATTTTACTTTTCTCTTTAATTTTCTTAAACTGCTCAAATCACTCTGATCAGAAAGTACTGATCAATGTTTTAAAACACCCAACGCAGTCTAGAGGCAGAAGAAAAACTCAGCCCCAGCACTGAAGCGATGTTGAGCTCCAAACCCCAAGCAGGAAGCTGCTGATCCTCCCTGAGTGCTGGTAGGAGCCACACAAACCTAAGCTGAAGGGGGGGGGGTACATTTCCCAGACCCAGAAACAAACTGTTTAAAGCCAGCTTACATTGTCCGACGTGCCCAAGTCAGGCTTATGCCAAGTCTCAATTTTGATAAAAAAATCCTCTTTCATGTATTCATTCTATGGAAACAAAAGCAAGTGGAAGTGCATCTCAAGACAAACATAGACGCAGAGTGGGAGAACTGGGCAAAAAAAATGGCGGTGTTCCTTGCACAGAGAGCCCCCTCCTCCCAAGCATTTCTTGGGAGAGTTCAGTGGGAGACAGGATAAGACAGGACTAGCGTGAGGGTTAGTGTTAGGTTAGTGGTGGTCACAGGTCTGCTAAGGGGCACCTGCAATGCACATAGAACATGCACCCTGAAATACATCATCAGAATATGCAACTTCTTATGTCTTCTCTGCTGGAAGTAACCCCTGTTGCCAGCATCTAGGTCCAACATGTAAGCAGGGGGTGTGGCTTGCAGATGATTAGAATGACACCTCAAGGACTGCTCTGAGAGGTGGTGGTCTCATTCCCTTTGCAGGCCAGCCCCACCTAGCTCCCTGCCCACCTGCATACTCTTTCACTTTAACCCAAGGGCCTGTGAATTGTTGCATAAGAAGAGAAAATACTCACCGTAACGACTGATCACCAGGACGTTATGGAAAGAGAAAGAGATGGAGACAAATAGAGTGACTGCATTGTAACCGGACAGCTGCGTAATTTCACTATGCTCTCTATATTATTCAGATTAAATGCTAAGTACAACAGGGTGGCCACAGAACCCCATTTGAAAGCGAGCAAAGAGCTAGCAAAATCATAGCAACGCTTACCATCACCTAACTTCAGCACAATAAACATGCACTGGTCCCTCCTAACCTACAGGCATTACAATGCCCATCAAGAACAGCTAGATTGATTAGGTTCTGCAGTTCATAAATCATCCATTTCTTACAGGCAAGAAGCAATCAGTTGCCTGCTTTCACACCTACCAAAAAATTACTTCAAATGAATCAATATTAAGCTTTAATGTTCAATTTAATCAGCATTTCACTTGTGAGCAGCAACTAAGTTGCAGATGGGGGTCTGCAACCCGCAGCTCTGGAGCTGCATGTGGCTCTTTCATCCCTCTGCTGCAACTCCGTCACCAGTCGGCGCCACAATTTTAAGAGGAGCTTCCGAGTGGGGGCGGGGGGAGCATGGCATGCCAGGCTCTATCGCAAGGGGCGGGATTTCCCATTGACTCCACAATTGGTAGGGCTTCTGGTTAGGGCATGTAGATGTCACACTAGGAGAGACTCTATGGTGGAGGAACCAGACTTCTGGTCAGCTCCAGAATTAAACCAGGGGTGGGGTGTGTGTGCTTCCAGTTAGGACCTTTGTGGCTCTTTTGAGTGTTTAAGGTTGCCGACCTCTGTTCTAGATTAATAGAGTCCTCTCTGACTCTACCCGAGCATGTAACTCGGCCCTTCTGGAGAGCACTCTTCTGACAAAAAGGGAAGAGCACACTGACCTGTTCTACAGTAAGGATATGCATTCCAGGCTTTTTCGTGAAATACTAAGGAGCCTTCCGGAGCAAACATCCGCACAAAGCCAGGCACTTTGCTATGAGGAAGCAGAGTCATAGGTTTATTTTTGACAACAAAATAAGATCAACAGTTTTTACTCCCATCTTAGCAATCTCTCCGTTAACACATTCTTCTCATGGTGTTGTGAGAGTTTAGCAGCTCAGCACAAAGGCACCACGGATGCGGTCCCGCTATCATCACTTGCTCCTTTTTGAAAGTATATATATATATATATACCTCCTTCTCAGCCTGCCCCAGGCTCCCTAACCCCGCCACTCCCCAGAAACACAGTGGTGACTCCATCTTGCATTAGGTGTCTTCCCCCACAGTTCCCCATAAAAAGAGCCTCGATTTTGCAGGGCTACGATGATGTTAATGGTGCGGTGAAGCAAGTAGGGAACAAAAGCACGCCTCCAGGCACAACGGCTTAAAGCGGGGGGCGGCTGCGCGAGGGCCCCCTACCTCTTCAGGTGGTAGATCTTGTGCGTGTACTGGCCCTTCTCCCCATCCTTCTCGTACGGCTCGTTGGTCAAGACCTGGATGCCTTCTCCGCCTCCCGTCTCGTTTTTGCTGGCTTCGGCCACGGAGTACAGCTGTCCGACCTGATACTAACAGGAGACCGCAGCAGGAATGGGACCACCCCCACCCCCATTGAAGGGCAGAGACCCGGCCAGAGCTTCCTTCCCGAAGGGAAGCCAGGCGTATCCCTCCCATCCCCGCCTTGATTGTATCCCCAGGAGCGGAAGCGGTCGGGGGGGGGGGGGGGCAACACCTACCTCCTGCACCGAGCACGGCAAGACCACGCGGCTGCAAAGGGGAACAGAGCGGGCTGGTCAGCCGAGGGAGAGGCGCCGCCAGCCGGCCGAGGGAGGAGGCCCCAAATAACCCCCACCTCCTGCTTCGGAGGGTCCGCCGGGACCCCACCCCCCCTGCCCGCTCGAGGAGGCAGCACCCGCGGCCCCCACCCCTGCGGATGACCCGAGCCCCCCTCCCCCCCCCGCTCCGGGACCCGCCCCGCGCTGCTCACAATTCCTTGATGAGCACCATTTTCCCCGCAGGCAGCAGCCCAACGCGCATGCGGCGTCTGGGCCGCCCATCCATAGGCCACAGCGCCAGGCAGTTCCGGGAGCCTCGCCTAGCAATCTCGGCCAGAGCCAATCATGCAGCAGCAGGCTTGGGGTCGCCCGTGCGCTGCCTTTCATTGGTTGACAATCTAACAGATGCGGCCCCCCAACCAATGGTGCGACACAACGGGAGTCCTCAGACCGTCCCACTACAGGTCCGCCCCGGAAGTGTGAGAAGTCACGCGGATGACGATAAATCTAGAAAAGTATAACTCTTTACTTGAGGCGGGCCCTGAAGTCCCGTTAAGCGGGGCGGCCTTGGTCTCTGCCTGGAGCGGCGTCCGCATCTCACTGCTCGCAGAAGTCACGGGATGAATTGCTTCCAGGCTAAGGTCATGGCTTCCTCCCCGCACCGGAAGCACTCGCGCGAGAACGCCCCCTCGCCAGGGGGAAGGTGGGGAAGTTTCTCGGGTGAGGGGCGAGTCGTCTTCAAAGAAAAGCCCGGAAGTCCGTTTGAGAGAAGCACCTCCGACCCGCCCCCGCCGGGCGCTGACCCCCCCCCCCGGAAAACAGGAGGCGAGAGAGAGAGAGAAGCTCATGCTTTAATAAGAGACGGGAACCACAAAGGGCGGCCAGGAGGCCTCAGCAAGTGCCATAAAAATAGGGACTCCTCTGTACAGGCGGACTCGGAATACAAAACGCGCAACGCCGCCCGGAAACGGAGGCGTGACTACAAAAAAAGTCCGTCGGGCCAAGCACGGCCGAAAGGCGGCGCTGCCTCCCGGCGTGGACGGACGGGGCCCGGGAGCCTTCGAAGCACCGTCACGGAGGCCCGCCCGGAGCGGCTTTGCATAGAGTCGAAGGGGCCGTCCGAGCGGGAACCCGGCACGGCTGCGGTGGCAGACGTGGGTATAAAGGCCGCGGCGGTCTTCTCCTTCCCTGGCCTCGAGGCGAGCGGGGCCTCCCCAGCCACGGGCTCTCGCCGCACCCCGAAGCGCGCCTTCAGCCTAGAAAGGAAACGGGGCCCGCCTTGTGCTGGGAAGGGGCCGCGCTCGAGGCCCGGCTGCATGCAAACTAAGGAAAGATCCAGACATGGGAGAGAAAGACACCCCCCCCCCTTCCCCACTTCACAGGACACAAAATTTAAACGGGAAGAGACCGACAGGCCGACAACATAGGGAGAAGCTGGGAGAAGGAAAGGTGGCCTCTGGTGCAGCAGGCCTTGAGCGGATGACCCGTGGCATGGCCAGTTCCCAGTCACTTGGAGATTGGCACCGCACGGAGCCGGCCGCGGGTTCCTGTCCTGCCACAAGGAGGTCTGTCTGGCACAGCCAGGAGAGCCTCTGGGTTGGCCCTTGAGATAAAAGCAGCCGTGTCCTTCTCCGTGTGACCTTATACTTTGTTTCTCAGCCAGCTGCTGTCAACATGAAGCCTTCTCCCAACCCTTCCTGGAAGCACTGACAAAATGGCTTGTATTTCAACACAAAAAATTGTGCGCTGCCTAGAATTGCTGCCCTTCCCCCACCCAGCCCCACATAGTGGCAGCCAAGAAGACAGCAAAGGGCTGGCTGTCACTAAGTAAGATCCATAGGCTCAAATCCATCTCACTGGGCTCAAGTTCCTCAATCTGCTTCCTACTGTACTGCATCTTTCAAGCTGGTGAACAGGAAAAAAGGCCCAGAAACTCCACTCAGGTAAACAAAAAAATGAGCCACTTGAGATTCAGCATTTCGACGAAGGGAAGAACCTTCCTGGTGATAAAAACTTGTAGCCATTGCCAGAAGGTAGCCGTATGGGATAGCTGGACTCTAGAGTGCTGCTGGAGTCAGCTGGAGGTCTACGCCCATTGGGAGAGTTCTTCTGCAAAAGAGCACAGGGAGCAGACAAGTCCTTCAGCTCCAGTTTGTCGGTGGCTTCCTCTTTGCTACGCCGGGGAGACAGGTTCAGCAGGCTCAGCACATCTCGCTTGGAGGCCTTCCCAGAAGAGCTGTGGGAGCTCCTCATGGGTCCGGGGGGTTGCTGGGGGACATTTTGCCAGAACATCTTCAGATTGTGAATGGCCTGCACCTTTCCATCGATGGCCGCCATCTTGAGTTTGTCTAGGGCAGGTGGGTTGGCGGGGCTGGAACGGGCTGAGCTGGCAGAGGAATAGGAAAGGGCTGGGGAGGGAGCGCTGTCCCCTGGGGATCGATGCCCTGAGCTTGGGGAGATGTTCTGTGGAGACCTGGATATATGGGCACTGTATGGAGAGCTGGGATACTTCAGCCTGAAGACTGGCTGATCTGCCACAGGCCCACAAGAGTCCAGGCTGAGGGAAAGCTGCCTAGCATTTTCCTTGGTGGACATCTCGGAGGGAGAAGGGCTGTTGTCTCCAGAACTGGATGTTCGCAGGGAGGAACTCCTAAGGAGGAGCTCAGGCCTCACTGGGGTAGGAGAAGGCTGACTTTTGATGCTGGAGCACAGTGGCCTGCTAAAGGCACTGGTCTCTGAGGACCGGAAGGTGGTGACCCTAGAAGGTGAGGCAGGCCCTTCATCCAAGCTGCTGCTTCGGCCAAGTTGGTGGGGATAGTGTCGGCTGCCGGCACGCTGGAGGTGCTCCACAGCGAGGAGGTGACTCTGGGTTTCTTGCAGGATCTTCTGGGCCAGCTCCTGAGGATCCAAATTTGGGCCATTCCCTTCCTCTTGGGATTTGACAGTGCTATCTGTTTCGGTACTGGAATGATCTGATTCACCTACATCTGAACCTGTTCGTTTCCCAACCTTCTGGAAAGGGGAGTTTGGGCTGGGAATGAGCATCATTTTGCCTGGGGAGTTTGGAGAACTGATACTGTGCTTGAGGTTAACAGAGTCTCTGACTTCTTCAGCCTGGGAGAGGCTCTGGTCTGTGGAAAACATGCCTGGGCTCTCCTGGTATACTGCCAGAGGCTCATTGCTCACAATGGAGAACCCTTCGTACTCTTCTTCATCTTTGCTGGGGCCAGCTTTGGCTTGTGTTGAAAAATTACTCTGTAGGAAGGTGGCCCTCTGGGGATAAATAGCTTTAGACCTCTCAGAGTCTTGGTGCCCCCTGGAGCCGCCTACCTCAGATGTGGCCTCAGGTTTGGAGACGAAGCTAATGGAAGAAGCAATGGAGCTCAGGCTGTAGACTGAGATGGCATCTGAGGCCAGGCTGTCTGGACCCGTAGGAGAGAAGGGGGGATTATGGCCAGGGAGTGGCCCAGGATTGGAGATGGATTGGGCTGAGGCCAGAGATTCAAGCGAGGAGGAGCTGTCCAAGCTCAGACGTTTGGGAAGTTCTGTGGAATCTAGAGAGGAATGGGACAGCAAATTAATTCTAAAGCAGCACAACTGGGGAACTCAGGTTTAAGATCCTCCCATTTACAAGAGGTGAGGGCTTCACACACACTCCAAGATTGTCTGCCTTCTCTCAGACGGCTCTTCACTAGAACCTCACCTTTTTTAAACTCTTCCCCCTCCCTGTGACTGTGGTAAGTGGCATCATCTGTTCTTGTGCACCAGAGTATGGTTGCCCTGGGTAGTGTTGGGCTTCAGGATTTGGTGACTATGGTTGCAGATTTTCAGATACCAGCTGTGAAAGCCTACACCAGTATGTTGTACTGCTTGCGGAAGCCAGAAGCCCAGCAACAGCCAAGTGACATGGCCAGACCATGGCTCTGCCATCGTTCTGTCCTAGTGATTCTTCCCAGTCCAGGGAGCTCTGAAAATAAGCTGCTTCCCCCCCCCCCCCCCAAAGCTCCCCGCCATCACCTTAGAAAGAGTCTCACCAAAAAGAGCCAGCAGAGTCTGGAGTGCAAAATGCATCGTCCGGCGGCTGGCCTGTTTGCCTGTCTTCAGAATCACTTCCTCCTGCCCGACCTCGCACAGATCAAACCCTGCAAGCAGCAAAGGACAGCCTAATGAGCCCCCTGCGAGATGCTCAGATTCTTTCCCACTCAATGCAGACCCTCTGCCCGTCTCCAGTCCAGCACAAGCTGTGGAAGCCTCTTGGGGAGCCCAAGAAGACCAGCCCTGTTCCCCGCAGGGAATTCCCTGTCTTGCCAGAAACGTCTGCCTACCAAGAGCTGCCAGGAACTCATGGCAGCCAGGCAACCGCCAAAGCTGAACACTGATGGAGACTTGAATTGGGGTCAGTGCAAAATCTTGCTCCTTCTCTCCAACCTGGAGCTGCACCAAAACCTGATGGAGCTGAGGAGAAGGAGTTGCCAGTCAGTTGGTCCCAGCCCTTCTGCCCTTTCCTCCTGCCAAGGTTTGCCCCAGGAAAATACCAGGAAGGAAAAGGGGGCGCAAAAGCAAAACAGTCACAGCAGAAGAAAGGAGGAAACCCCACCAAGCCAGCCCTGCCCGTCTGCTGAAGCAGGGAAGGGGGGGGGGGGCACCCCCCCCCGCCCCCCCCCCCGCGACCGCCCGGGGGGGGGGGGGGGGGGGGAATCCTGTACTCACCATTCCCACCATATTTTTAACAGCCTTTGGGGAGTAGAAAGGGCAGGCAGGCAGGAGGGGGGTGGAAGAGAGAGAGAGAAATGTTTAGAGCTAGGCTGGAATGCAGGGCAGCAGCTCGATGCTTTGGAGCAGCAAGAGGGGGAGAGCAAAGCGTTGGCTCAGGTGCCCTGGAGCCAGGACCTCCAGAGGCAGCCTGCCCCACTGCCATGAAGGCAGGCCAATACTTGCCTGGCTAATCAGCTGCTCTCCTGTTTCAGAGGTGGTGATCAGCTTGCAGAGGGCCTGCAAGGCAGCATTTGGCAAACCTACAAGGAGGAGGCAGAACTTGGAGGACTTAGTCGCTGCAGCCCAGGTTGCCAAGGTTCCCTCAAGGGACCCACCAGTGTTTACTCACCAAGCAAAGACTGGATGGTGCTGCTGCACTGCTGCAGTCTGTCCCCGGGGTCCGCTGTGGGGAAGAAGACAGCGGCTGGAAGCCCACTGGCTGGAGGGTCCAGCCGGAAGCCCACGGCTGTCAGCAGGGCCTGCCAGCCAGGGATGCCACCAACTTTATTCTCTACACTCTGCTGAGAGGTGTACATGGAGTTGTGCTGCCCACTGTGGATGCGCTGCAAGGACTTCTCCACCTAAGAGGGAGGAGAGGGGGTGAGCTGCCTGGGCACTCGAGGCACTTCTAGGGCACCCCAGCGGCCTCAGGCAACAGACTGCCGAGTCCCTGATGCTCCTCACCAGATGCAGCAGGACCCGCAAAGCATCTCGTGCTC